GCGACTCAGCTGGAAGGGGGATGCCAGAGTCTTCATATACCTTGCGCTTCACGGTGGCCTTTATCTGGGCCCTGAAGAGAAGAGAGAGCAGGTTAGGAAGGGAGTCATCAGAGCGATTGAGGGAAGAAGGGAGGGGAGGGGCAGGGGTAACGGGCCACTCTGAAGGAATCCTGGGGAGCCCCTTCATGAGCATCACGGTTAGGGGCCCAACTTTTGGTAGGGTTCTCGTGTTCCCCCGAAGCTTTGCACACACTCAGGGCAGACGGAATGTGAAGAGTGGACTCCCTGAACTGTGTAGTGGGGAAGGCCCACATCCTAATTCTCTTCTGGGAGAGAGAGGTGTGGGTGTGGAAGGCTACCAGGTAAGCCCTGGCGATCCACAGGTAGACTGAGACTTAGGACCGGATCCCGCTCAACTAGTCCAGAGTCACAATATCCCCAGAAACGCCACAGTAACATCTTGAAGGAGCTGTGCAAACCACCAGGGAACTCCCATCACCAAATTCAACTGTTGGCCATCTCAGGCAACCCGAAATAAAATTCTTGGAAGGTCCTGGTTACCACAGCATTTCAGTAACGTCTGACCCACTCTTATTCTTTTAGTCTTCCAGGAGGTGCTAACACAGCCAGAAGCGAGCTAGGAAAGCTTGCTGAGCTGGAAGGGAGTTCTCAGGAAGATGGCAGGTGGGTGTGGAGGAAGAGTGCCCACCCCCCTGCCTCTGCCGGCCACCCTCCCTCACACTGTCCGTTCCTTGATGACACAGCTGATGTGATTAAGATCGTCCCCAAACCGCTTCACCGCAGCCCTCAGCATCTCTATCTCCGTCTCCGTCCACTTGGCACTGTCAGAGGGGAGAGGGGGACAGGAAAGTGGGAAGAGGGGGGTGTGCGGCCAGCCCGCAGGCTGTGCGTTCCACAGCCACCAGCCCCCTCCCCCAGTCCCTGGGGCCCCGTCCGTGGGTCCCTAAAGAGGGCTTCCTTAAAAAACAAAAAAGCAGACACCTCTTGGCGCCCTGTGGGCATCCTGAGGACCCCCAAACACACCTATCCCGACAGCCACGTTAGGAGAAAGCCTGTCCCCGAGCAGCGTGCGGCAGCTGCTGCAAGGAGCGCGCGGAAAGCAGTCCCGCCCGCGGGGGGTCTTACACCCAGAGCCCCGGCCGCGGCGTGCAGCGCTCGGGCCGTCCCGCATGCCCTGCGGTCGGCTCGCAGCACGGCAGAGCGGCGGCCCGGGTCACGTACCCCGCGGGGGAAGAGTCGGCCACGGGATGCAGCTGCATCGTCAGCTCCCCGAGCTTCGTGAAGGCGGCGCCCGCCGCCGAGAAGATCTCTCCCACCTGGGGGCGGGGCGGCGTCACGGGGGGCCGGCGCACACCCCCGCGCCGTCCCG